AAATATACGATGTCCCATTAAACTGATGGAAGTCTGATTCTCTGGATGGCCCTAGCCCAATTTCTGTTATAGAACAAAATGTTATTTTCTCGCTGGTTAGAGGGTTTTCTGGAAAAGGACTATTAACAGCTGTTACTTTAGTGTACTGTTCTACCTAGCTTAAGGTATTCTTTTCCTGTCATTTTTTTTCCTGATGGAAAATAAATAATAAGTTTACACCCCATCCATTAAAGAAAATGGTATTGATACGGACCTCATTTAACAGTGTGTTGAGATTTAGTGGTGAAAAGCAGAAGTGGTGTGTTTTCTTAATGGTGTGTTCTGTTTGTACGGGCAAGCACTGATATGGAAAAAGCAGCTCTTGTACTGTCATTTATAAAACACCTAGTAATTTCCTCTTGAACTATGCCAGAGTGATGTTTGATAAATTAGAAAGTAAAACTGCTAGACTTTTCTACTTTCTGCATGAAAATACAGCAGAGAGCATTGGCATTGTAAAAAATATTAGCTTCAGATAATGGTATGGTCTTAATTCCTGTGTGTTTCTGAAAGAAGACATAGACCAGAATCTCATAAAGATTCATTTCAGTAACTGAGACTTCACATAAAATTATGAATTATTTGAAGTAATGAAAAAAGACCCAAGCCTCTCTCTTTATTAAATGTTTATATCTAATTCTTCTAAGTGGGCCAAGGAGGAAGACAGACTTAAGCTTCCCTAAAGTTCTTGAACGAGCATTTAGATGTGGGTAAAGCTCCATCTCTCATCTTCTAAGAGTTATGGTTGGGTTTTTTTTAATTGATGTGGTGTTTTAAACTCATGTGTAGGTGTGCAATTCATTTCATCTACGTAACACAAAGAATCATGTGAAACAGCAATCTACCATTGTGAGACCAAGGCATTTTTGTAATGAGATTAAGAAGTTCATTTTCTCCATGGAGGATTTTGAAGTGCGTTTTCAAATTCAGTTTAGGAAATTATGTGATTTTTGAACAATATTTTTGAAAAAACAACCTTCTCCATAATACACCTGTTCCTAAAACCTTAGGAAGCATATTATGGAAGCATTTTTGTCTTGCTACTTCAGACCCCTTGCTCATTCCATCGCACCTTAAGAAATTTTGTATAGAAGGTTGTGTTTCTTAGCCATTACAGGTATATCCATGGTTTTTAAAGTCTTACATGAAAACGTTATCATTTTGTCTCTGGTACCCAGCACCTAGAAGTGAAGACCCTAGGCCATTCAACAATGTCTTCCTATTTTCAGAATAAGGAATCCCAAATCCCATTTTTGCCATTTCCTTTCCATTACTATCACTGCCAGAGCTATTTTCTCCTTCTTCTCATTTCAAGTTTTAAACCCTCTCTTCGCTGTATTCAAAGAGATTGAATTTTATTTTTAATATCTACATTGATATAAAAATGCAATAAAACAGTTTAGTTCAAGAATTGTTCTGATTCTCATCAGGATTATCTGCAAATAAATTTTCCCATAAACTTGATATCACTGACAAGAATACCTCAAAAATCTTTTTATAACTTGAATCTGATTTGATCTTAATTATGAGCTTTATAAATTAATTAGCAATATTGTTCTTTTATACAGCTATACACATGTATAGATTTCAGCTCATTTACTTAAACAAGCAGTACAGATCTTTGTCCAGAAAAAGCCTAACAAATTCTACCGAGAAATCTACTTTTTCCTGCGGTGCAGAAATGGTACACCATTTGAGAAGTCAGGCTCTGATAGCGTTGATTAGTGGTTCTTTTCTGTTACAAAGGGTAGACAGAAACCTGCACAACAGGTTGTGGGAGCTTGTTTCACACAAGGCTTTGTTTCATTACAATTTTCAGAATTAGTCTGAAACTTGAAACTTTTACTGAGAAAGGCCAGTTCCAATATTTAATCTTCCCAGTCTTGATTGTGGACAATGCTAAGCGCTAAAATTTACCACACACAAAGTAGTGGATGGTTTTTGGAATACTGCACCTTTTCCAAAGGTTTAGTAGCTCCTACTAAGACTTGTTTCTCGATTTTGTTTTGATGCTTTGTCATTGTGTCTATCTTTAAATCATCATTGTGTAGTGCTATCTCACTATTTTCAGGCTGTGAATGTTGATTCTGAGAACATAATTCAAAGAAGACAAAGCTGCCTTACCAAATTTGCCTACAGTTTTTGTTAATAAAACTCTGTCAGACAGAATGTAATAGCATCTAGGGACTTTAAACTCAAAATAGAAAATAACATTCAATCTTCATTTATTCTAAAATCAATAGGTAATGGTAAAATCATGCCATTCTACTTTCATTATCACACAGTATAATGGGATACAATTTGCTTAAATTTCTCCTTGAGCAGCTAAGATCACTGCGTGAACACAATTAATTTTCAGAAACATCTGTGAAAAAACTGCTACAATATCTATATTACAAACAGGGAAACTGAGTCAGAGAAAGGTTCTCATGTCTTTGGCATGACTGCATGCAAATTAATAGCAGTACTAAGACTAAGGCTGAAGAATTAGTAGCTGTTGTGTATTGACCCAGTTCAACAGAATACACTACCAGGGCACATTTTTTTCACATTGCAGAAATTCTTTTTTGTAAACTGCAGTGCTGTGCAACCCTGTAATTATGCACAGAGCACATTAGGACAAAAAAACCCCACCAAAACCAAACCCCAACAACAACAACAAAACACAACAAAAAAAAATCATTTTTGGCTCAACAGGTTTACATAGAGCTTCAGAAATTCACTCTCACTACCAATAATATTCATTCAAACAGCCATCTGGTTCTCTCTTAGGTCACTTTGTACTGCTCGGATAGTAGTGGAACAGATAATCGAGCCCTTATAGCACAGCATAAGGACTAGTTCTTATAGCAGCCTCAGAAACCCTTACCAACCTCAGTGAGGCTTTGTACTAGTGCAGAGATGAATTCATGTGGAACTAATTGCAGAACTGTGGCCTAAGTAAGAAACCAGTCTAGCTCTATTTGCTTATTATCCAGTTGTCAAAATGTAGTGCTCATTAAGTGCAGAAACAAAAGGTCCAGATGGATTCTTTATATCTGAGAAATGTGTTTCCCATATAAAAAGAAAATAATGACTAGCACTGCAGTGGAATGTAAAACCTTATTGAAAAGAGAGGAAACTCTAAGGCAGGTCTTTTAAACAAGATTAATTCAGATGCCCTTCATCTGTAGAATTTGTGACGTAATTTTACCTCAAAAAAAAGAATAATTTGTGCAAAATGCACTTTGGTTACCTGAGTCTATAGAATATGAATGAGACTAAACCAAAAGCCTTCTAGTACTGCTGCTCGCTCCCATAGCAGGAACTCCATACCTGGTGCCAATTGTACTCTAAACACTTTTCTCCCACCCTATAACACTGAGATTTTTTTGTTCTACACAGGGTATTTCTGGACTCCTCTAGGTTAAGCAACATGCTGAAGTCCCTAAGTCATGATCAGACATACAGTTCGCTACATTGAGAGTTACAGCCATTTCCTTACATCAGCAGGCAGCAATAACTTAGTGTAGGAGACATAACAGCATATTTTAGCTAGCAAAATTTGGCATGAAGATATGATCTGCTCTATGGATGTACTAATCAAACTGACTTTAAAAATTGCAAACACACTAAGTGATCAAAAATTAGAACTAGCAGTTTCGAGAAGTGCTTGATATTACAGCATTTTCAGGATGAACTCAAGTTCTAACAGGAACTAGAAGGGAGCTTGGATACTTTGCTGCCAAACATCACTGAGGAGGCAGTTTCGTGAGAAGTTTTAGGAAACCGAAGTCTGCCTATTTGCCTAAAAGGACAGTCCCACTCTTCTCCAAGACACATTTCTGTCTGTGAAGGTACCAACACTTGTGCAGCCGTACAAAAAAAGTTACCTAAGGGAATCAACCTGGCTTAAAATTAGCCAAGTGAAATATATTCTTTTTGCAACAGGATCAATCACCTGACCCAGCTTCCTATACAGTCACACTTAATCCCAATGCCAGTACTAGATAGTGGGGAAGAACATGGAGTCATGAATTGGAAGGAGAGATAGTTGAATTTCACCAATTGTATGGCAAATGTGTTCCAGATAAAGCCATGTGTTTTTTGCTAGATATAGAAGATCTACATCAGACAGGCATCAAGTCATTTAACATTCAGTAAATTGCAACTAGTTATGCCAATTAGCCAAGTAACTAACTAAATACGCAAATAAATCTGTTGGTGTCAATTATAGGACAAAATCTACAAAGTTATAGCAGAGAAGTTTAGGTTGCCACACATCAGCCCACCTATGGCTTCCATTTGTAAATGTACCTCAAGCATCATTTATGTTTCCAGCAGGACAAATGGATCTAGGCATTCCCTTACTCCTGTTCCTCATCCATTGAAACCCACCACTTAATCATTCAGTAAGACCTTCCAACCCCAATTAGCTGTTTCTTTGCAAGTGTCTGTTTTTCTGGAGATAGGCATGTGTAAAGCTACTTACCTCCTGGCGCTGTTTGGCTGTTTAAAGACCAGACCACAAGTGACTTCTCAAATACATCTGTCCTGGTTATTTCACCCAATCTGAAGCAGACCTACAGGATCAGGCCCCACAAAGTAAACAGGCATGGACAAGACTTCTGAAGACTGGTAGCTATTATGTATATGCATTGCATATATGACTGCAGTCAAAATCCCAGAATTCAAAACATTTGACTGCAGTAGCAGAGCATTAGTGCTCAAGGTGTACCTTTGACAGGAGTCCATATTTTTAAAAACAGAAGGACCAATAACCTTCTTAATAACTTAATGGCTTCAGTAGGACTGCTCACAGTAGTAACTGATATTGGAGAAGATAAATCAGGAATGCAATCCTGGGCATAATTACAACTGTGTGTTGCAATCAGATACACCAAGTAAGTAATCTAAAGATTTTCATGTTTGGATGTTACTACTACTTTAAAAAAGTAATTGTATCTTTTCCCTCTCTTCAGGTATAATCCTTGGATTTTCTCTTCGATCATATAAGATGAACTATCGGGAAGTCAAGTACTTTTCGTTTCCAGGAGAACTACTCATGAGAATGCTGCAAATGCTGGTCCTGCCACTGATTGTATCCAGTTTAGTCACAGGTAAACCAAACCAAGCCAAAACGCATAACCTGTTCTTTTAAATTATTTTATAAAGGTGCACACGCTAAAAGATGACAAATGAACATTCCATGTCCTAAAAGAGTTATAACCTGCAGACAGAGATACCACTACTATTGCTGTTTTAGAGACGATGTAATAAGTTTGAATTCATATACGGAGAAATGGAAAGATGCTTTTCCCAATTCCAAGGCAATCTAACTGCACAAGGTACTACATGCAACTGCTATGAAGCTGACTCCGTACTACACTCTCTTCTGTTACTTTCCGATATTTCATCCACAATGTCCTATTGTTATCAAAGATGATGTATCTCAAAAAAATAGTCCCAAAACCAAGAAATTTGAAACTACTGATCTTGGGCAATAGCACATGCCTATAACCCCAGATACCTAAAACATCTCTCTACTGTCTGATATTTTGGTAACAGATTAGAAAAAAATAGAATCATATCATAGAATGTTAAGGGGTTGCAAGGGACCATAAAGGTCATTCAGTTCCAACTCTTGCCATGAGCAGGGACATCTTCCACTATACCAAGAAGCTCAAAGCCCCATCCAACCTGACCTTGAACACTCTCAGGGGTGGGGCAGCCACAATTTTTCTGGGAAACTTGTTCCAGTACCTCATCACCCTTACAGTAAAGTTTTTCTTCCAAACACCTAATCTAAACCAATCCTCTTTTAATTTAAGACATTCCCCCTTCTCCTATCACTACCAGCTCTTGTAAAAGGCCACTCTCCCACTTTCTTGTAGACCCTTTATGTACTGTAAGGTGCTCTAAGGTCTCCCCAAAGCCTTCTTTTCTCCAGGCTGAACAGCCCCAATGCTCTCAGCCAGTCCACATAGCTGAGGTGCTCCAGCTCTCTGATCATTTTCATGCCCTCCTCTGGACTTCTTCAAATAGGTCTATGTCCATAGGTGATAGACTAGACTGGATAGTTTGGAAGAAACTTCATCAGTTCTGTATTCTTGCCTTCTGGTCAGCAACTCTACTGAGCTTAAAGTCTTCTTTACCAAGTTCTTCCTTTACCAGGTGATACTATTATTTCTTATGATGATGATATTAACATTGATGACAATTGATGACATTGATGACAATGATTGACATTCCACCTGTGTTTCAAGGAATGTTCAGGATGTACCTGTGGTGTATTTACTCTATTAATTGTCTGAAGAAAAGAAAGCACGGACTTTAGTCTATCAAAAAATCAGTGGTACATCTTGGAGAACTTAATCAAAACCACACACTGTGCAGTCCCAGGACCTAAAACATCTAATAAACTACCTTGATCATGAGAGGATCCAGAGACTATTAGCTGTGCTCTACTTCATTGATTTTAAAATATATTAATGTTAAGATCTCCTCTTATAAAAGCAAACGAGCACAGACTCCATCTTCACAGAAATGAAAAATGTATGTATATAAGCTTCTAGTGCAATAGCAGAAAACTAGGGTGTTCACAGTTAAAAAATCATTTGACTTCACGTATTTCATGGAGAAAGTAAAGCTTGTTTCTATACACATGTTATATGGATACTGAAATTTTAATGAACACTGAAACTAGGTAGTAATTGATAAATTTTGTAGGGGAGATGATGATATGTTTTATTCACAACCAGTATAATTCTGCTACATGTCATATCTTCTTCCTCTCTTTTTGTCCCTTTCACCTGTAGAACTCCCAATGTTGGCGGACATTGATAGAAGGACCATTAAAAGTAGGAAAGGGGAGACATTTACCCTCTTTCAGTGTCAGCTAAGACTGGCACAGCTGGTCCATTTTGTAGGATGAGTTATTGCATGAGAATTTACCTGATCAATTCTCAATTCCTTCTACGTCTGCATTCACATTAGTTCTCTGAGAGAGCGCAAGGTAAAACAGGAAATAAGATAGATCATCCTGTAAAAAGACTTGAATCAATTAGTAGTATTCTAAGTAGGAACAGTTTGTTCAGGTAAAGATCAGCAAATCGACTTTAGAAAGTCACAAGCATCACAAGGAGCTGGTCTTTTGATAAAACAAGCTCATTTGCTGTATCACCAGGACTTAGCAGAGATTTTGTGAAATATCAGAACAATGAGTTTCCAACTAATCCTATTCTGAAAAGTATCTTCATTCTCTGGATTTGAACAATGCTTTTCTTTTTGATGGTTTTTTTTTCCCCTCTAAAGTCTTCCGAGCCCTTTATCCCTTTTTGTGCCATTTTTTACATAACAATCATTTCATTTATTATATAAAGGCATTTGGCAAAGAGAAATCTTGTCTATCAGTAAGATTTGTCTTATTATCATACAAGTGCCTTGTAATATTATATGAATTAATCTTAGAGTTTCTCTTTGAAGTAGAGATGGTAATTTTCAAGGTGAATAACAACATTTTAAACTTCTTTAGCTGAGTGGAGAACAATGAGAGAGAACTCTATGCAATTCACAAATGACATTTAATTATTTTTAGAAGTCCTTCAAATACAGCAGGACTATGTCCTTTTTCATGGGATTAAATGACAATTCCCAATTTATTGCTAACAGCTGTGGAAAAAAACTGTTTTCTACACTGAACAATACCTGATTTAGCATACAAATCAGGGGGTGTTTTGAAAGATCCTTTTACATATTTGCTGCAGAACTCTTATACTGAAGTAAATATACAGGTGTCACTGAATATCTAAATAATAATTAGTTATAACCTTTACAGGTGTACTACTGTGCAGTGGTATGCATGCTTGAATTCTTTTTTTACACATTATAGGATAACTCATTGGATAAAAGTCTTATGCTTCTCAAGTCAGTCTTAAGACTACTCTGTATCCATGAGCCAAATCTCTTGTTTCCTGTATTTAGTTTGGCAGAGCAAAGTGGATGCTTCTTAACTAACCTCAAAAAGATTCCTCCAGGGTCTTCATGCTGATAACGTGATTGCTTCTGAAAATTATCAGTTATTTGAAACAATATTTTCCTCTTTGCAGGTATGATAGTGACTCCTAAATAAGATGTTCTGCATTTCCATTTGTATTTATGCAAGTGTGCTGAATATACCTGTATGGCAATGCCAGAATATATGGTCTCTGAGGTATTAGAAATAAGCTTGGGAGGATTACATTCCTTTGCAAATTTTGTGAATGTCAAAGAAAGTAGAACAATAAAATCAAAGTAATAGTTATGGAAGCTATGGGCTGTTATATAAACAAAAGACAAATTGAGAAAATTAAGAGTTCTGCTATACAGGTAAACAGTCCTGAACAGTTATTCACAGACCTCAGGAAAACAAACTATCAAAGGTGAAGTCGACACAGCCATATTTCTCTTCACCCTGTTTGGGCACTTTATGAAAAAAAAAAGAGCAGAATCACATTCAGAGGTTTTTAGTCACATTTGTCTTATGACTTACCATTATTGCACATGGTTCAAGTAGGTATGCAGTTTTCTCCATGAGATTCTATCTTCTGATGTGTATGTTACCAGGCATGTACTAACGTCTGCCTGGGAGAAAATAGAGGTTATTTGCATACCATTCACCATCTTTTAATGTTTATTGGAAAACATTATTATGTCCATATCTATATTATTTATCTTTTGTGGTCTAGACACAAATGCAACTGCATACTCAATGTTGGTCTTTTGTCTACAGTCTTTAAAATGGAAGAACTCCAAAGTCAGCATTCCCAATTATTATATCTTACAAAGTCAAAGGCAAAATTAAACCACAGTATATGAGAGGCAGTATAAAGAGTCAAGAAATAGATGAAATTCCTATTTGGATTATATTATGGACAAATCTGACCCAAATTCCTATACAAACACAAGGGTGACAATTTTACTCCATTTCTGGTTTGAATTTGCTGCAGTTATAGGAACTCAAGATATTTTTTACATCCTTATTTTACTATAACATGAAGCATTTGACATGAACATTGCTTGATGCAATTATTTTAAAATATGCATTGCCTCTAAAAGGTATACGAAATAAATATATATGCATATGATAACAATCCAACTCATCATGACATAGGAAAAGACTGAAAGGATTGCACAGCACTAAGAGGACTATGCATTAACATTTTTTAAACTGCTACAGTAAGATCAGAATGAAATTGAAATTCCAGTTCTTAGAACTGGCACAAAAATTTTATCTGCGCATTTCAGTTGTTCACTGAATATAAGGGTGTCAGAATGAGTACCTTTTCTTAACAAAAAGTATGTATTTCCTGAAATCTCTTTCACAAAAGTGATTCACAACCAGTCTTTATAAAGAACACGGTCTAGCAGAACTTTTGTGACAAATCTTAAAGCTATAGAAATTTTATAAGAGTTAACTTGCAAATATTTTGCACAATTTTAGTCATAGTTCAATTTAATGAAAAGGCTGATTCTCCTTCCCCAAAATTTTGAAAGCATGGAATTTAGTTGCACACAGAGACCACTGCTTTTAAATGCCAGAGAACTAGGATTAAATTCTGGCATTTGCTTCAAATATCTTCATCTGGTAAGATATAGTTAAACATTAAAAGCCCAGTCAAGACCTGGGACTAATTTTTGCTGCAGGCTGCAGAAGCAGTAAGAGAACAGTTTATTTAAGCCATAAGTCAAGGTGGCAAAGGAGAAAGAGAATGTAGAAACAGTGAAACTGAGGTCCACTGTCTCACCAGAGATTATACAGCAGATTGGCAGTTACAGAATTAAGCAAAGATCCCAATCATGAATATCAGTACAACACACTGTACATTAGAAGACAATGGTTGTCCAAAGTGTTAATGGGAGTAATATTAATATGTCAAAAATGAGTCTGAATCACATACCAGGATTTTGTGTGCACCATCCTGTACAAACACAAAAACTGTGAATCTTCTTCTACAAAAGAAATCTATATGGTAGAAGAGTTTAAAAGAATGAGTACAGGAGGTTTACATCAAAGAAGAAGCATTTTGCTATGTAGTTTGTATAATGTATTTGTTTATATTCAGTCCCCTTTCTAATTCAA